ACCCCCCCCCCCCCTCCCTTTGGGGGTGCTCTGGTATATGTGGGCAGCCTAACCGAAGCGAGTCAGCTGGATCAATGAGATCCTCTTCTGCATGTACCTCTTATCAATAAAAACCTGATAGGGGCTCCAACCCTACGCATTTCACTTTAAATGATAGAGGGGTCATGTTGTGAAGCCATTTTGTATTCCAATGGCACTCCCCAGAGCACTTCTTTAACCTTTCAGCTAAGGGTGCACCAATACCGATACGCAGGGCCGGATTTCCCACAAGGCCAACCAAGGCCCGGCCTTGGGGCAGCAGGGGTGTGGAATTCCTATCTCCCGATGCCTGGGACATGCAGTACCGGGCACCGGGCGGGTAGTTGTTTTCTACAAGGGATCCCGGCAATGTCGCCGTGATCACTTGTATGCAGCCTGCAGTTCTGCCATTCTCCATGGGGGAGAACCTGGCCTTGGGGCAGCAGAGAGAGTAAATCTGGCCCTGCCCATACTAGTATTGGTGCCGGTACTCGCACTCGCCCAAATGCTCCGATACCTTCCCCGGTACCGGAACTTCCGGTCAGAGGAAAATTTCCTCTGACCGGCAGTGCCGTAGGCGAACATTGAGCCGGCTTCCTGGGCAATCAGGAAGCCGGGTGGCAAGTAATGACCCGCCTCCCAGCTTCCTGATTGGCTGGAAAGCCGGTTTGATGCTGATTGGCTGGGAAGCTGATTTCCCAGCCAATGACAATGGAGCCGGCCAAATAACATGGAGCCGGCTTCCCGGGTAATCAGGAAGCCGGGCTTCCTGATTGCCCGGGCTTCTGGGCTTCCTGATTGCCCAAGAAGCCGACTCCATGCCAGCGGAAGTACCGGTATCGGTACTCGATAATCAAAATATCAGTACTCGTACTCGATGACGAAAAACTGGTTTCGGTGCATCCCTACTTTCAGCCTACAGGAGGATTAACCCTCCGCATGCCACGGCGATGTACGATGGGAGAGTTCACATCGCTATCAGTCATCTGATCCTTCAGAAGAGACTGGCGGCGTTGGTTTTGGGTTCCCGGCTCCACGCACAGGAAATGCTGTGAATATTTGGAGCCTCTACACAGACGCCGTGTGTATTTTACCTCTTGCTGTGAGCGCGGACGCTGCCAAATACCGACATGTCGTCTGCGCTCAAATCCGCGTTGAGAAAGTCGAAGCTCTCGAGCGCCGTCTCCACCGTCAGGCTGTCCATGGAGCTACGTGATGGCTGCGCCGGGTCACTCGTCTGCGGAGGGAAACAGGAACACGAATGGAAAGAAAAAAAAGAGAATCTGGAGGCAGCTTGGACTGCGAGGAGCAACCTATCGACCAATCAGGTGCTCAGCCTGTACAATCTCCTTTAGAGGTATATTGCATGGGCACGTCTGATTGGATACAAATGGGATGGAATGTTTCTTCACATTACATAGTCCTCAATCAAAGTCTATGGCCAGCCTGAGCCTTAAAGGTGAATTCCGGTCGAACATGATGATGAGATACATATATGGGAGCAAGGGATTTGTATTTCCATTCATCCATCCATCCACTACCTGAGATCTACACAACTCTGCCACCCAGTACAGGTCTATCTACCAGGAAAAAAGACCTGATTTTTCTCACTTCCAGCAAGCCAGGGGGTCTCACTCCTCCTGCTTGACTAAACAATAATGAGTTCAGAATGCAGTAGTGAGACTCCGCTTGTCATGGCAGAGACAGGCACGCAGTAAGAGGAGCCTATGAGGGTTCTACAGCCCACCGGTCTCCACCGGCTGCATGCATGCTCGGCTTTGATGGGACTACAACGGATGTCTTCTGGCTTGAGAAGATGCCAGATCCCGGCAGGGACCGTGCCGTCACCGAGGCGCTTATCACAGATTCGGCCGCCGTCTCCCTCGGATGGCAGCGTGGGCGTTTGATATGTTGCTAATGAAATGCAAACATGCGTCGTTTCGTGATGGAATTCGTCTTAACGTAAACAATCCCCTTCCATATTGTTTAAATGTAAACACTGGAGGAAGTCTCAATCACGCAATGCTGGGATCAGAATGCAACTGGCTCCCCGAGCAGCACTTAAAGGAGAACTATGAGGGGAATTTAGGCAGAGCCAGCTGTCACTCACGCAGCTGGGCGGATCCAGGCACAATTGTCGGGATCCGCTTCAGCTGCGGCGTCTCAGTATACCGCGAGCTGTAGCTCCCTATATACTGAGCCTAGGGTAACGGGAGGACGCTAGTTTGTGTCCTCCCGTTACCCTAAGCAGAACTATGGGGAAAAGCCCTGACCCCATAGTTCTCCTTTAAGGCATGCTAACGTGGCTCCACAGTCAACGTTACTGTGTGTCATTTTAGCGACCCCTATAATGTTGTTAGGCGCCATTGCAGCTTGAGAGATCGGACTCATTAAAGCAAAACTCGCTCTGTAATTGAGTAGTTCAGCAAATGTTTTCTTTCATCGGGGTTAGAATAAGGTTCAACTTTATACTTCCTGCCCCGGTCCCCCCCCACCACACTCCCAGGCCGACCCTTATCTAATCAGATGTAAAAGGCACAAGCAGGGGAGTAACTACAGATCACAGGGCCCCATAGCAAAAATGTGACGAGGGGCCCCCTAACGACCTCTCTCTGAGCTGTGACTAATGACACAAAGATCCCTCTTGTGCATCTGACATTAGCTTTCCAAGCGCTTCACCCCTTCACGCCACAGTACCGTGTTATCTTCACATGTTCTATGTTTAATTTGCCTCAACAACCTTATTGGGCCCCCTTCCACCCCCAGGCCCTCTAGCAGTCGCCTGTGCTGCTATAGCTATAGTTACGCCACTGGGCAAAAGCGGCCCTTCAGGATTGGAGCAGAGAGCATGGAGGGGACATTTTGTCCAAGAATAGAGCGCCATGAAAGGACCGCCGCTCACAAGCCTGTAGTCCGCACATCTCGCTGGGGGCCCAGTACCAACCAAGTGGAGCGCGTCAGCACTCTGGAAGTGAAGTAAAAAGAAGAGACGGCCCCAGCAGAGACAAAGCTTTGTCCTTTCGGACACATCACAGAAAATGTGCCCAGATCCTCCCCAGCATAATGTGTTTCATCGGGGTAGAGACCTAAACGCAAGCCCTATACGGGTAAAACGCATCAGTTAGAGAACGATGACGATCTAGGTTGATTTTCTGTGACGTGTCCAGAACTATAAAGCTTTGTGACTGCTGAGCAACGGTTACCCTACTCTGATATCTCTTTGGTTCAGCTGTAGGGGCCCATAATGGATGAACTCTGATGGGAGTAATACTTGGCCATCGAACTGGCATTCAATGAGAACACTGTGATTGGCTTCTGATTATATCCTGGTTTCCATTCACATCACCCGCCATGTTTTTAGGGGACTAGAGGCACCCCGAGTCTCCCTTACCCCGACTCTCTCGCTGAAGCTCAGGAGCGACTGCTCCATGTCCTTCAGCTTCTGCCTGGTGACGTCTTCCGATCTGATCAAGTCTAGGACCTCCCCCAGCCGACTTGCTAACGAATCTCTCTTGTCACTTTCTGTGCCTCCCGATGTCTCATCCTCGTCCCCCGGATTCTCTTCTAGAAGGATTATGTTGGTCAGGCTCTCCTCTATGGACTCCGCCGTGGTGTCTTTATCGAACTCCAGCCTCGCGGGCTCCGTGGTCTGGTGTGCGTAGCGGTTGGGCGTCTCTTTTAGAATGTCCAGAGTCTCGTGGCTCTGCGGCGGGTTGCCCCTGTCGGGGTGGGACTCGTTTCTCAGCTCTGGGGTGGAAGAGTAGGGCAGGGTGTCCCCGCAGGAGGACGGTGGGCTGGGGTGTGCGGGGGCCTCGTCATCGTTCTCCTCCAGGTTCCGCAGACTCTCCACGCTGTTCAGTTCTGTTCCCGTCTCCACGCTTCTGCGGCCTCGGAGAAGATCGCTGCTGGCCAGGTAGCTCAGTATGTACGGGGTCTGGCTATGCTTATCCAGGGACGGGTAGGTGCTGTCCAGGTCACTTTGCTGGAGGAAAGACAAAACCAAGTCAGCTTGACATTTTATAAATACAAAACAAAAGTCACCTGCTGCTTTATAACATTGTCTAAAAGTTTAGGATTTTTTTTTTCCAGTCCTGAGATTTGCACTGCTCTGCCACACAGCACAGCCAATCCGGTGACCTAACTGTTCTACTGCAGGTAAGCAGCACAGCTTGGTCACCTCCGCTCCCTTAGGCCGTGATTGGACAGTGGAGCATAAGCAGACTGATGAGGTCAGCTTTTTACTTTATCCACCCCGTCAGCATGTTCCGTATCAGCTCATGTGCAATGAGCAGGGCTGTAGCTACCATGGGGCGAGTGCCAGGCGCAGCTGAGAGGGGGCGCAGGCAGGGACGGTCTGGCAGCACCCCCTCGCCCCTGTTGCCATGGCAAGCACTGGGTGCCATTGGCAACAGGAGCACCAGGTGGCCAACACAGCTTCGGCTGGGCAGGGAGAAGAGGAGCGGCACAGGCTCCACCTTCTCCTCGGATCCCCGCTGCTCTCCCCCCACCTGTATGGGCAGAGGACTCTGTGATCTCAATCTTTTTCTATTTCAAAAGGGAAATTTCAGGGGTCTGTTTAGATCCCCATAT